CATTAGAGCAATGATTATAGAATAAAAACTTTTAAAAAGTTTCAAAAGGTTAATTGTGTAATAGGTTTGGCAGGAGTTCTCGACTAATTGAAAATTGTTGTGAGTTAATAAACTTTAGAAATCGCTTCAAGACTTTACCATAGACAAAGTGCACACATAAAACTACTTGTTTTTTATTCCCAAAATATGAGACTTGTTAGATTCTGTTAAGAGTATAAAACTTCCCCAATTAGGAGTTATAAACCATATTTTTGGATGAAAATAGTAGTAGTCTTATTTCCGCATTTTGAGAATATTCAAGTACATCGTTTCGATGTATAAACGTTGTGATTAACATTGTTAGAAAATAGTTACAAAAAATATACTCCCTCCGTATTTCTTTGTTTGTTACAATAGGTGTTGACACATTTTTTAAGAGTGAAATAGTAGGGGTAATGAATAGTGTAGAAAAAGTACGAGGGATGGTGAAAAAGTATGAAAGAGAAGATAAAAAGTAGAAAAAGTAAGGGTGGTTGAGTATTTTTAAAGGAAAAACTTACCAAAAGGGAAAGTGTAGCAAATTTTTGAATAAATCCAAAAAAGGAAAGTGTAGCAAACAAAAAATACTCCCTCCGGTTTTTAATAAACTTCACACTTTCCTTTTTGGGACGGTCTAAACTCTAAAAATAAACTTCACACTTCCTTATTTCTCTTTTTGGCAAAGAGATCTACATCAAAAATAGTGCCAAACAGTGCCAAACAGTGTCTCAACAGTGCCAAACAGTGTCTCTACAGTGCCAAACAGTGCCTCAACAGTGTACTCTACAGTAAAGTCAAATTTCTTTCCTTATTTTGTGTGAAGTCAAAGTGTGAAGATTAAATAAAACCGGAGGGAGTAGTATTTATAACATCATATAAGACTGCAAACAAAAGAGAGATTCACATCATTAATTTATTTTGATAAATGTAGTATCTCTCTCATGCTACATATGTACTGTGCATATATTATTACATTGAAACATTGAAAATGTTGGAGTCTCACACTAGTAAAATATGAGGTAATACAATGTTATATTAAGATCCTAGACTACTTCTTCGATCAAGTTGACCTCATAGGATAAAATTTTGGGTCTTAACATGGTATCAAAGTCAAACTGATACATAACTATGGTGTGGATCCTTATTAAAAATGACAATATAATTATAAAAAACGACAATGATGAATTGACGAAAAAAATGAATGATAGCATGATCCATATGAAGTGTCTGATCGTGAAGAGAGGTGCTGGAACTTCACACCGATAGATAATAAAGTGATATATTAAGATGTTGGACTCATTATCCTCTCAGATTGACCTTTTGATACAGAAACTCACGTGTTAACAAAAATGCTGTTACTAATGAGTATATATTCTATCTATGTATTAATCTACACCACGATGTGAATTGGGGTCTACTTTAATTAGGGTTGGACAAAATGGTTTTGTTTAACCGATCCGAACCGAACCAAACCGAAATTGGTACTTGGTTTGGTTTGGTTTGGTTTGAGTTTACTTAAGTTTGGTAAATCCTTAAATTTGGTTCTGTTTGGTAAATCGAACGGTTTGGTTTGGTTTGATTTAAAACTGAAAAACAAACCAAACACCGAACAATTTGTGTTATATACAGAGTATATATGTATATATGTGTGTGTAGAAGAGATCATATGAGAACACCATCTAATGAAATAAATGAGAATTAATTAGGATCATTGGATTGAACAATTATTTCTTCTAATCAGAATCGTGTGTCATCGTTTAGAATCTCTCCTCTGAGACTTTCTTCTCTATCGCTCTCCATCGTCATTAGCTTCGGATTTTTACTTCCAAATTAGAACAATTTGCGATCGTTTGGAATCTCTCCTCTGAGTCGTTCTTCTCTCTGCCGCCCTCCATCATCACTAACTTCGGAATTTCAACACAAGCCCCTCGCAGGAGAACAATTTTGATTTCCTAGATGGCTTCTCTGTATGGTTCTAGAAAAGTTTTGTTAGTGAGAATTTATTGTTAGTAATGGTTGAATTCATTTTGTCAGTAAGAATGTTTATTGTAGTAAAAAAGTTATTATTTCTTTTTTTATCTTTTATTTAAATAATAAATACAAGAAGATGATATGAACTACTGCTTTCATTTTCTAATTCTAAAATAGATCAAATAAAATAATAAACAAAAGAAATCGAATCAAATCAAACTAAATTGAACCTAACAATTTTCATCTTGGTAATAAACCGAACTTCAAACCGAACCGAACCGAACCGAAACTAAACCGAAATTCAAATGATTTTAATTTGGTACAAATTATCCCGAACGTAATAAACCGAACTGAATTGCTCACCCCTAACACCCCCAACTTTAACGTAAAGTAGACTCAAAGTCATCTCAAAGTCCATATTAACTTCTCGTTTGTAAATGTAGTCATATTATTCATTTCCAACAAGGCATTTACACTCCTTTTACGGAGTAATTAGGCCGTAATAGTTGCTAACAAAGGGTAAATTAACATCGATTTCACACCTTTTGAAATCCTTACAAATTACTTTCTCTAACACGAAAGAATAATTAGCACTAACTTTGCGTGAAACGTAACAAATCTCTATTCTCTAATCTCTAATTAGCATCGTTCAAACAAGTTAGACCGGACATTGTGGGCTTGCATCTCATAGACTACGTAATTGGCGGAAGTGCGGAACCCATCTCCGCAGAAAGGAAACCCACTATCAGAATACCCAAATCAAATCAATATTATTGGAACGTGTTTTATATTTGTGAATTTGGATACAATAGCAAAAAAATTTGCGATTACAACACATGAAATTGCCTGTTTCAGTCTTAGCGAGTCAAATTGCTTTGTATGAGATGAGTGACTCAAAGTCTATATCTAGGATTTACAATTGAATCTGTAAAATCTGTCTAAATGTTGTTTTGTATGCGTTCTCATTTTTAATATAAAAGTCGTCCATTTATAATAAGAAACACACACGAAATTGCCAAGAATTCAAGAAAAAACACTTTAATTAAATCCTATTAAGTGTGGGCGTGTGGCTGAAAGGGGTGAAATGGTGTGTACTTACTCTTATGTAATGGGAATGTTTTTAATTGGAGTAATTCCAGTCATAATATATCACAACATATATGTCAGACTTAAATAAATCAGACTAGACTACATTACATAAAAAAAATCAATCTAATTATAGAAAATCATAAGGGGTCACTTCTTTAGTTTCGTTTTTAACAAAGCTGAGCACCGAAACCAAATACGAAGTAAGAAATTTGATGCGGGTTTGTTGTTCATATCTCGAAAATTTTGTCATTTGACCGAAAAACACAATAAGAAGGTAAAAGAAAAGGCAAAGGGTGACTGACATTAAACTCTTGTTTGATCCTCGTTTTTGTTTCATCATTTTTATTAGTAAATTTTTGTCAAACACTATATGCATGCTATGTGTGCCCAATTGTGTGATAATAAAAAATAAGTAACGAGAAATTACTTTTCATCATTTTTATTAGTAAATTTTTGTCAAACACTATATGCATGCTATGTGATAATAACTTTTCTAGTTATTATCATTGAACTTTAATTTAAGACGATCATATATATTAAGTTCCCATTAAGATAATTCAATCATGACTAGTAGTAAAGGAAGATATACCATAAAGTTTAAAATAAGCAAAGACATAATAAAACTAATATATACTCCGTACAATAAAATAAGAATGATAAATCCTTGAGCACGAGTAATCTTCAAACAGCCCAGCTCGTTAATTAAAGATTGGAACTCAACCCATACACTAAGCAACAATTTGATCTCCTCTTACGTCTTTAGACCTACCACCTATTTTGCAAATTGTTCATGGGGAGGAACTAATAGAATTATAATAGGACTACTATTGTACTATACATTAAACTCTACTAGTATAAATATATCTGCCAGGGCTCCTTAGAGGGCATCCTGTTTCATTATTTCACATGGTATCAAGAGCACATCTAAATACCTAAAAATTTTTCGGCCTTCTCTCTCTCTATTCTCTGTGCCGATAGATGTCATCCTCGACATCTGCCTCTTCCGCCGTAATCGGCAGCTCAGCCGCGACCTCCACACCGGCTTCTCTCACCACCACCATGTCTTCCGCAGCATCCAGTACGTCGTCGACTCTTGGCGCTCCAATTTCTTTTGGATCGCTGCCAGCTTTCAGTTCCATTCCGTCCGGCGTATCCTTCTCTTCCCACTTTGCTTCCCCAAGTCGGTCTGCTGGAATATATTCTACTTTTCCGAACATGCCGCCAGTCTTCTCTTGGCCAACACCAACTCCGGTGCAGCAGGTTACCTTGGATCCGCCTCCATTCTCGGCTGGGTCATTCGCAGGCACCACTTTTGTTGGATCTCCAGGGGTATCGTCCACTTTACCACCTCCTCGGACTCCCGTTGGCAGCCCTACAACATCCTTCTTGACAGAACTCGGAGCAACTATTTCTCATGTGGCCACCAATGTCACAAATATTGTCACTACCAAGCTTCTTGCGGTTGAAGATTATACTACATGGAGGACCCAGTTTGAATCTTTTCTTGTGTCTCAAGCTCTTCTCGGTATGGTAGATGGGTCTATTCAGGTACCTCCTCCTTATTCCATGGATGTTCTAAACCGTCAAACTCCCAATCCCGAATTTTCAATTTGGTTACGAATTGATCAAACCATTCGTTCTTGGTTATTTGCCACTTTGTCTCGCGATATTCTTATTGATGTTCGGGATTTAAAACATTCTTATCAAATTTGGGAGCGGTTAGAATCTCGATTTATGTCGGCTAGTTTAGCTAGATCTATGGAATTAAAGAGGTTGTTTTCCCAAATTAAAAAGAAGCCTGAACAGTCCATGGATAATTATTTAAGGGAGATTAAATCTCTATTTGATGATCTTGCTACTATTAATTGCCCTGTATCGTCGCGGGAGCTGCTTAAGACTACCATTATGGGATTGGGTCCGGAGTATGAATCCTTATTTACTACTGTCTCATTGTTTCCTGAAAATTTCCCGTTTGAGACACTCCGTAATCATCTCCTTGAGCAAGAACAACGAGTTCTATACCTCCGCTCCCTGGACTCTACTTCAGTGCATCAGGCGTTTGCAGCTTCCTCTACTTCCCCGGGTTCACAGGCTGGAACGCAGCAGCATACCTCCCAGCAAACTCAACAGCACTCTGCCGGACAACAGCAACACCGCTACTCGAATCCGCAGCAGCAACAACCGCGTGGCCGCGGGCGAGGGCGAGGTCGAGGCCGCGGGGGACGGGGTCGCGGACGTGGCCAGCAGGCGCAATACATGCCGCCCGGACAGTTTGGTTACCCGCAGCAGTTTGGGTATCCTCCTTCAGGCCCTCACTTTTATACTCCCGGAGGGGGTGTTCCGCAGGCTCCACATGCAGGGGGTGTGACCTCTACGGGTACTGTTATTTGTAATTCTGCTTTGTCACATTTAAATATTAATGCTTTATCTGCTTCGACTACTAACTCTAGTTCCGCAGGCTCATCATCAGACGGGGGTATTCTTGGGTCCGTTCCCCATCCTGTTGTGTGTCAAATTTGTTTTTCTGCAGGTCATTCAGCCATCACTTGCCCTTCTCGGTTTTCTCAGCCATCTGCGCCAGCTATGTTGACAACTCCTGGGGAAACTAATCCCGCCTTATGGTATCCGGATTCCGGCGCTTCTGCTCATATGACAGCATCTGAAGGTAACTTATTTAATAAATCTGTTTACCATGGCTACAATTCGGTTAGTGTTGCTAATGGTGCCCATTTATCCATTTGTCATATTGGTGATGTTGCATTACCTTCATCTGGTCGTCCTCTTACATTAAAATCTGTATATCATGTACCTCAGTTAAAATATAACTTAATTTCAATTCAGCGGCTTTGCGCAGATAATAACTGTACTGCCATTTTTGATAAAAATTCCTTTTTGATTAAGGACAAAGCATCGGGGGCGGTGCTTCTACGAGCTACCAGTAGTGGACCACTCTATCCTATCCAGTTGCCATCATCTTCATCCTTAGCTTTCGCTTCTATATTAGCATCTGGCCCTGTGTGGCACCGTAGACTAGGTCATTGTGGTGACAGTATTTTACAGTTTCTCAAACGCAAACAATTTTTATGTAGTCATTCTCCGTTCACTCATGCGTGTGTGGCTTGTCGTTTAGGAAAATCACAACGTTTGCCCTTTATGGATGCTAGTCATTATTCTTCTGCTCCTCTTCAAATTATTCATTCTGATGTATGGCAATCTCCTGTTATTTCTAATTTGGGATTCAAATATTATGTCTGTTTTATTGATGATTATTCTCGTTTTACATGGATTTATCCCATGCGCCTTAAAACTGAAGTTTTTATGCACTTTAAAAATTTTAAAGCTTTGGTTGAAAATCTTTTTAATCAGAAAATTAAAATTTTTCAAAGTGATGGAGGTGGTGAATTTGTTAATCATACTATGCAGCAATTTTTCTCATTACATGGTATTTATTTTCAAAAATCGTGTCCTGACACACCTCAGCAAAATGGGGTTGCTGAGCGTAAACACCGCCATCTCCTCGAATTGACTCGCACTATGCTACTCGAGTCCTCTATGCCGAGTCAATATTGGGTAGATGCTCTGTTTACTGCTGCATATATTATTAATCGGTTACCCTCTCCTACATTAAATGGTTTTTCTCCATACCAAAGACTTTTTCATCGTGTGCCTAACTATTCATTTATGCGAGTTTTTGGCTCGGCATGCTATCCCAATTTTTCCGCCACTTCTGCTAATAAACTTTCCCCCCGGTCCATTCAATGCGTTTTTCTTGGCTATGCATCTGGTTACAAGGGTTATCGTTGTTTTGATCCTATCACCGGTCGCGTCTATGTTAGTCGCCATGTTAGGTTCCATGAGGATATTTTTCCCTTCCAATCCCTTCAAAAGACTCGTCCTCTACCCACATCTCAGTCCACATCGTTTCCGTTATCATTTACCAATCCCAGTGTCGAACCTACTGCCCTACCCTCAGCCGGTCATCACTCCCAGTCATCTCGCCTCATCCCAGTTTTCTCTTCCTCTTTGCCACCAAGTTCCATTCCATCCCATGATATTCCTAGTAGCCAGCCATCTGAACCCGAGAGCTCTTCCTCCCCTACCTCTTCGGTCTGTCCATCCACTCCCCACGCAACTGTTGGACCGGTCCTTACCCACCAGGCCGAGACTCCTTCGAGTACTCCTTCCCAGCCCACTGACTTCCAGCCTAAGTTTGTCCAGACCGAACCCATTTCCTCATCGCCCCCCTCCCCAGTTGTGACCACTACGGTTGGCAATCAGCACCCCATGCAAACCCGTGCCAAGTCCGGAATTTTTAAACCCAAAACTATTTTTACTTTAAGTACAGTTGTGACTTCTGCAGATCCTACTTGTTTTACTGAGGCTAATAAACATTTAAAGTGGAGGGAGGCAATGGCTGATGAATTTAATGCACTCATTAATAATAACACTTGGGATCTGGTGCCCTTTGACAATACTAAGAACATTGTAGGCTGTAAGTGGATTTATAAAACAAAATACCATTCAGACGGGTCCGTTGAGCGCCATAAGGCCCGATTAGTTGCTCAAGGTTTTAATCAACAGGCTGGTATTGATTTTTCTGAAACATTTAGTCCAGTCATTAAACCTACTACCGTTCGCATTGTTCTCACTTTGGCTGTCTCTTTTCGTTGGATTATTCGGCAACTTGATGTCAAAAATGCCTTTTTACATGGTCACTTAACAGAGGAAGTGTATATGCGTCAACCCCGTGGCTTTATTCATCCTAATTTTCCTAATCATATGTGTCGTTTGCGAAAGGCTATTTATGGCCTTAAGCAAGCCCCACGGGCATGGTTCCATAGGTTTAGTAGTTTTTTGCTTCAGCATAATTTTTCATGTAGTAAGTCTGATAATTCACTTTTCATCTATCGCCAGAATAATAGTATTATATATTTATTATTATATGTAGATGATATTATTATTACTGGCAATTCTGAGTCCATCATTACCCAGTTTATCTCCATTATTTCTAATCATTTTGCCATGAAAGATTTGGGTAATTTACACTATTTCTTGGGAATTGAGGCATCTCGCACTTCAAAAGGTCTGTTTCTCTCTCAGAATAAATATGTCACAGATCTCCTGGCTCGATTTCATCTTCATACGGTCAAACCTGTACGCACTCCCTTAGCCACTCGCACTACACTATCTCTTTCTGATGGTGAGTTACTTATGGACTCTACTGAGTATCGTAGCATGGTAGGTGCGTTACAGTATTTAACTTTGACACGGCCAGATATTACTTATGCAGTGCACTTAGTGTCTCAGTTCATGCATGCACCCCGTACTACTCATCTATTTGCAGTCAAAAGAATTTTCAGGTACTTGCAAGGAACACGTGATCATGGCCTGTGGTTACAACATACCGATCGTCCTACGTGCATGTTAGCCTACTCAGATGCCGATTGGGCCGGATGTCCTGATAGTTCGCGCTCCACCACAGGTTTTGCTGTCTTTTTAGGTCCCAATTTAATTTTGTGGAAGTCTAAAAAGCAGCCTACAGTATCCAAGTCCTCCACAGAAGCTGAGTATCGTGCTATTGCTTACACTGTTCAAGATACACTTCATGTTCGCTCTGTCCTGTTCGAACTCGGCTATCCCATTACCGAACCTGTCCATCTTTTGTGTGATAATATTTCAGCTTCATATTTGACTGCAAATCCGGTTCAGCATGCAAGAAGTAAACATATTCAGATTGATTATCATTTTGTCCGTGAGCGAGTTGCTCATGGAGATCTGGTTGTTAGACATGTCCCTACACATTTACAGTTGGCAGATATTTTTACTAAAAGTCTTCCTAGTCAACGTTTTCATTTTTTGAAAGACAACCTGCGCGTTGTTTCTCCCGCACAGTTTGAGGGGGTGTAATAGAATTATAATAGGACTACTATTGTACTATACATTAAACTCTACTAGTATAAATATATCTGCCAGGGCTCCTTAGAGGGCATCCTGTTTCATTATTTCACAGGAACAAGTTAATAAATTTTGTTTTGGTTCCTTGTATTCTTTGTTTTGATATCTGTAACATACAATATTCTGTTTTTAATACATCTTTAATTCACAGACCATTCTGTTTGGAAATCAAGTTATCGTCAATTGTATAGATAGATCTACTAAAAACTACTACGTATAAAATTATTCTTTTCTAATTTTTAAAGCTAATATGAGAGTAGAAAATAATGTAAAACTAATCATTCATGTTTTTAAAATACGTTTTAACAACCTTAAACGAAATTAACGTACTTTTTTAATCCACACAACAAAGAATGAGAGAAAACTTATTAGTCAGGTTGTTTACTTGTTTTCATTGTCAACATATTATAATTGTTGAGAGAATAAAAAAAATTACAAGGATTGAAAAGTAAAAAGTAGCTGTACACATTACAATTAGTAAAGATATACTCCCTCCGTCCCAAAAACAACTTCTCACTTTCCTTAAATGGATGTCCCAAAATTAACTTCCCACTTCAATACTTTCCTTATTTGGCAAATTATCTACATCAAAAAAGTGATAAACAGTGACAAACAGTGTTTAAACAGTGACAAACAGTGTTTAAACAGTGTCAAATAGTGTTTAAACAGTGTCAAACAGTGCACTCTACAGTAAAGTCAAATTTATTTCCTAAATATGTGTGTAGGTCAAACCGGGAGGTTGTTTTCGGGACGGAGGGAGTATATATTTAAACCAAACTAAAATAAGAACTCAACAGATACGATTCAAATGGTTTTTTCGTTTTGAGTCATTGTTTTGCAGTCCAATTTACTTTTTAGTTTCACGAATGCACCTCTTTTTACCCACCCACCAACTTGTTCGGCGTCAATTTATTTCACAAATTATGCTACCTTTTATACTTTTTAGTGCTTGGCTTTATTACTTTTATTGATACTATTCACACAACATTTGACATTATTGTGTCGTTTTTCTAGATCAATTTTAAAGTAAGACTTTTAAAGCTTTAAAAGTTGTTGATTTGTGCAAAACCTATTAATTTAATGGGGTTTAATGCACTAAACCCCTCGTGATATAGAAATTCAGCGCATTAGCCCCCTGTGATTTAAAAAATGTGTCAAACTCCCTTGTGTTTTAATTAATTATGCACAATACCCCTTTTATGAATAAATTTAACGACTTAAAAATCATTTTTCCTAATATTCTGATTAAATATGCAAGTAAATATGTCAAAATATCTAAATCATACATAAATGTTAATCATTTTTTTTATTTGACAATTGGATTTGTTCATAGAAGGGATTTTGTACATAATTAATTAAAACACAAGGGGGTTTAACACATTTTTTAAATCACAGAGGTCTAATGAGCCGAATTTCCATATGAGAAGGGGTTTTATACATCAAACCCAATTTAATTAGTTCTTTTTACCGGGGATCTTTACGAAAATACTACTCCATATGTAAAATCTCTTTTCTGAAAATTGCTCGCATCTCACTTTTCTAAGACCGTTCTTCAATTCTTGGGCCCTACTCAGTTTATTTGGTACTGTTTAGCTTTAATGTAAAAAGGAAATCGTATGAATGAACTAAATTTGATACTGTCTATATGACATATATACATTCATTGTCTATGTCAATTAGCTATCTAAGTTACCATTGTCCCAATTAGCTACCTAAGTTACCATTCATGGACCGAACTGTATAGATAGTATTTATTTACCTGTTTTCTTTGAAAAATATACTTATGTAATCAAATAGTCTTGAAACTACATATTTTAATCTGTTCTACCATTAAGGTTTGAATATGACGAATTGACACATTTATTTAAAAAAATGATCTGATTGATTTAGAACCTAAATAATAATAATGATATTACCTCGTCATATTATTTAAGTTCTAAATATTATTTTAGATTGGTAAGAACTGCGGTACACATTTAAAAAATGGGGTACCATACCTACCATTTACTTGATTGGTCCACATAGATATATCATTTTTAATTCAACTGCAACATTTTGATT